GCACAGGGATACCTACTTGGCATCACCATAAGGATGGCATGTCCATCTGGGTCCGCCAAGAAGTACATACCAAGACAAGATTAGATGTGCACAAGAGTTATTTATCAGGGAAAACACCTGTGAGGAAAAATGGAAGGGGAGCCAGGACAGCTATCAGACTGGACACTCATGTGAAGGAAAGAAGGAAGGAAGGCAGGCTCTGAATAGAAGTGTGATAGCCTGCTAGGCAGTTGGGACAGAGTTGTATAAGGCCATGGGTTGTCCCTGAGCCAAAGTCACCCATCAGAGAAGTGCCCCATCTATAGTGTTCTGCAAGCCTATGCCTGTCTGCCATGCATTTCTTCTTCATCAGCTGCCTAGGAGCAGCCTGTGGGAAGCTTGTCTTCAGCATAATTACAGTGATAAATTTCAGAGAACAGCAACTCAGGCCTGCCGTCCATTATGCCCCTCACCTTTGGAGATCTGAGAGGTACTTTTTTTCATAGTCACCACAGGCTTTGGCTGCTCTTCACATGGTCCCATTCAGGACCTATTTCTTCAACATCCATTTAGCCCTGACTTATGCAAATGGAAGTACTCTATCCCTCTCTGAATTCCCCTAGCATGTCTTCATTCCTCTTTTACAACTTAATGCTTTCTTTCTTTGTTTTTTGTTTTTTGAGACAGGATATCCAGAAGCAGCCTAGGCTGGCCTTGAACTCTCAATCCTCCAGTCTCAGCTTCCCAACTGCTGAAGTTTACAGGAGTGTACCACCACACCCAGCCCCAACTTAATACTTTTTATCTCATATCGTTTTTCTTGTAATATCTTCTATGTTGCCATCTATAGCACACCCAGTGTAATGAAGCCCATTAAGACTATTCTGGAAGGAGACTCACATGAGGTAGAAGCTGCTTACCTCATTTGCTTACTTTGGGCCTGTAATTACTGTAATTTTGACCTGAATCCTCCAGTTTTACCTCATTTAGATATCTACTTTATTCTGTTCATCCTCAGAGTCTTACACATTCACGTTCTGTGCTTTCTAAAATAGGGCTAAAGCTTATAATTCATGTCAAAAGAAATTTGCTACCTGCAAGCAGGAGAGTCGGTTGATTCAGAGTTGTATCTGTGTCTGCCCCATGGGAGAACTTAGCAAGGCATATTTACAGTAAGTGAAGCAAATATTTATCCCTGAAGGCATGACTAGACTTTCATGTCTTCTAGCAAAACAACAGAGCACTTCAGCAGCCATGGGAGGAAGATGCCCATCTATACAATAGGATGGTAATTATGTATAAGAAAAGCTAACAAGTCTCTGGAGAAATAGAATTTTTAAGATTAAGGGAGTTGGGTGGGATCAACTCATTCATTGCAAAGTCCCCCCTGGGTGCCAAATATCTTTCAGAAGCTTCTGGGTGACTTTCAAAAGAAGCTGTTACCTTCTAGAAAGGAATAATGTAATTAAAGAAAGTAAAACACTGAGTTTAACCAAACAGGAAAAGCAAATGAAACCCTGGTATTTCACAATACGACCACCTAACCTGCATTTGCTAAGGGGGGGGCGAGATCATTAGCTCAGGGGATGAAAGCAGAAGCCCCACAATGCTGTGCACCACAGCCAATGGGCACAAGTGATTCAGAGAACCCATAGGCTGACTTTGAAAGACACTTATTCTCAGATGTCGAATGAGGTGCTAAAAAGGAATATATGGATAAATCCTTGCAGTGTTCACATTTAGTATAGTATTTTCCCCTTAAGATCCATGATTAAGTCAGTGTTGTACTTAAAATACATGACATCTTGGGACTGAGGAACTAGGGTTAATACAATAAGTTGGAATACTTCTTTAACTTTTGTCATTGATTGATGCTGAAAGGAATTGTTAAGAATGATTAAATCCACACCCTGTGATGGGAATTCCGTATGGTTTACAACATCGAGTTGGCAAAGCACAGTATATGTATTATAATTCACTCTCCCTCCCTTGCTAGGGAAGGCATCATTCATCATCCATGGAGCAATTTTTTTATTAGCCAGACTCTGCAGAATTAGCCTCAATCAAGTGTTCTAGACAGTCACTACCAAGTGATTGGACTTGGTACACAATAGGGATTCTGTTTATCATCCCCAGGCCATGTTCTTCTATGGAATTGAACTCGAAAGAATATACAAGAGCTTCTGACACCAGTTTCTTCTTTATCCACGCTAAAGTATTAGTGAAAACTCACAGCAGTCTGGACTGAAGAACAATTTTGGCATCAACTTCTTGCAGATTCTGGGAGTTCTAGACCCAGTCTTCCACACTGCTTTGAGCTAGCATACCTTGTTACAAACCACAAAACCTTCTGTCTTTGGTTACATATTTACTCTGTATACAGCCTTTAAGTACCACCCATCTTTCAACTGATGTATTCAAAAGATTTTCTTCCTTAAAATATGCCATGCAAATGTTTACTGTCTGTTCTACTAACTAATAAAAATATCTCCATGGTATTTCATAAAGTTTAAAGCCAAGGGATCTGGGTCTTTATTCTCTTAGCCTTTAATAAAAGTGTGAAGTTCTTTGTTAGGCAGAATGAGAATCACTTCCTGCTTAGAGTTGCACTAAAAATGAGTCCCCCGTTCAAAGTGTCTTGAAACTTTCCATGTCACACCCTCAATCTTCCCCCAGGGAAAAGCAGCTTGAAGCATTACTATTTAATCTTACCAAGCCCAGTATTAGACAGGTTCAATGTGGCATGACTTATTTTCCCTTGCTAGACTTGAGCTTCCTACACATCAGGGATGATCCATTTATCTATCCTTATTACACTATTTAATCTCTCATCAATAATTTTCTTCTTTTTAATGAAAAATCTACTTCATTGATACCCATCTGGAAAGGCCTACAGAGGAGAGAATGCTTCCTGTGCACTGGCTTACCCCTCTATTTTAATCTAACCCTTGGATCTGGGGAAAGAGGAAAAGAATTTTCTTTCCATAAATTTTATCTTTTTCTCATCCCCATCCTGAAGGGATCTTGAATAGTAGGGATTCTTCAGCCTAAAAAATACATAACCACAGAGAGCCTTCCCTTCCATATGCTGTATCTGTGCAGGGGTTGTTATTGTTTTGTTGGTGCTGGAGATTGAACCCAGGGCCTCACACATGATAAGCAAATATACCCCCAATTCCACGTCCACGGTTTTTGTTTGTTTGTTTTTTGGCGGTACTGGGTTTGAACTCATGCTTGCTAGGCGGGCACTCTACCACTTGAGCCACTCTGCTAAGTCTTGTTTTGTATTAGTTTTTGTTGTTATTGTTGTTTTTATGGGACTGGGGTTTGAACTCAGGACTTCATGCTTACAAAGCAGGCACTCTACCACTTGAGCCACAACCAAGTCCTTTCGTGTTATTTTTGAGATAGGGTCTCACTTTATGCTGAGGCTGGCCTGAACCCCCATGCTTCTATTTGTGCTTCCCCCAAGTAGCTGGAATGACAGGCACGTGTCACCACGTCCTGCCATTGGTTGAAATGGGGTGGGAGGGATATCTCAAAGACTTTTTGCCTGGGCTGTCTTTGAATCTTCATCCTCCCGATCTCAGCCTCTCAAGTAACAGATTATAGATGCGACCCTGGAACATCCATGGTTCTTAATGCTGGCTGGAAAGCTTCTAAAAATTATCAGTGTCAGCCCCTACTCCAAAACAATTTCATCTACAGGAATGGGGCCCAGATATATAATTTCTCCCAGTCCTTGCAATAGCCCCAAGTGGCAGGCATTATCCCCATTTTCCAGATAAGAAAACTGAGGCTCAGAGAGGTTAAGAATTTTCCCACTGCACATGTTATAGTAGACAGAACAGTTCTGGTCATCAAATAGCTCTTAAATGTACGTTGTTTTGTTAAGTAACCTCTATAACATATTTTAACAACATGCAATGTAGCACCACTAACAATTCTTACCCTGCTCATTCTCATGCAGGCTGGTGGGTCAGACGAGAGAGCCATTCGTCTACACACAGCACACACAGCAGCAGGGAAGGACCTCTGCTCACTTCCACACCTCAGTTCTTACATCCAGGCAAAGCAATCATACCCCCTGTCTCCGAATTATCGACATTCTCATTGCATCTCCACACTATGACCAAGATGGCCTTTTCTCTCAAAGAACCAGAAGATCAGAACAGCACATATCCTGGAGTGGGTGGCGAGGCCAAAATTCAACATTTTATAAAGATAACTCAATTTGGAACATTTTTATTTCCTGATTATGCTATGTGCTTAGATTTCTGCAAGTATAACAGTGTTAAATAAAATTTAGTGTGAAAAAAGAAAGAATGAAATGGATTGACACCGGTGAACCAAAATAGCTCACCTTTTTTTCTCAATTCTACTTCATTGCTTTACATTTTATTCATTCCTCAGACAAAACAAGGGCACAGAAAGTGATCCTCAGTAAGTCTGAGAGTTCTCTGTAAGAGTTCCCATCTTTGTTAGAGAACCTAGTCAACTGTTCTTTTTTCCAAACTGGAGCATCTCAGACGTCCTGGAGAAGGAAGCAGCCGCCAGACCCCTCGGGTTCTGAGGGAGGCCAACTGTGTCCCAGCTTGCTGTTGATGGGGGACAAGCCTTCCACAATCTGGATTTCGTTGTCTGAGCAACCTCAGCTCCACCACGCCCCTTGTCAGAGCACAGAGCCCGCAGTTATATCACAGATCAGCCCAGGAATCAGCCAGTCATGAATCATAGGGACTTATGGATTTTTGCCGAACAAAGAACTCCAGCTCTGGGAAACTCTGTGGCCCAGCCTTTCCCTCTGTCCCAGTGGAAAAGCAGGTCATTTTCAACTAGACCTGTGAAAGACCATTGCAAAGCAGGTGTAGTCCACCCGGGTGAAGCTTACAGTCTTACATCCACAGATGCTATTTTTCATACCAGCTGCATCCTAAACACAGAGTGAAGATGGTGATTAGTAGTGGTGGTGGGTGTCTCAGTAGGAGCTTTCTTAAGAAGAAAGGGCTTTGAGCGAGCCAATGAAAGCTGTTGCCAGGGAACCAGATGCCATGAACAGGCCACTTCAGCAGCATAAGAATACAAGCCGCAAGTGCTGGACTGAGCAATAAGTGTATTTGGCAGCTGAGTCCTACAAGACCTGTTAACTCTTTGTGCACCTAACCACAACCAGATGGTGAGTCAAGAGGAGGAGGATTGTAAAATCTGAAAGGTCAGGTCACCCCTCCCGTCAGTACTTCCCATAGAATTGACCATTTCAAACATGGTCTCCACTGCCAATTGCCCCACACTCTTGCTTTAGGGTAAGTTGGCTTCAGAGATGGGCATGAGCACAGGCTGGCAGAGGGCACTACTCATGTCTGATCACACTTGTTATGACAATAACGAATCCTTTCAACTCACTGAGACCCAGTTTTATCTGGTCCAGTGGTCTCTGGAGGACAGAGTCGGCTGCCCCAGGCGGGCGTGCTTTGTTAAGATGAAGAGGAATGGCTTCTCTCGTCTTTACACGTACACTCACAGAGCCTCTGGGACCAACTGAGGCTGGCAGCCTGTGCCTGATTTAGATTGTGGCCAGGAGCATGGGCACAAGCTGATTCTCTGGGAAAATGAGAGAATGGCCAAGCCACTGTGGGGCCTCCCGACCTACCCCCAGGGGTTGCATGCTTCTACCTTGTCCCACTTCCTCCTCTTCCTCTTCCATCAATCCCCAATAAAGCCTTGACTCTGGGGACCATTCCTAGCACTCTGGTTAACCCATCTCTTACAAATTAGCTGTTATCAGAAGGACCTGAGTGCCTTCCTGCAGGAAACCAGACAGGTCGAATCACAGGCAGTGAGTTCCCTGTGGGCCAGGGGCTCCTTGGTTCACATGGTGGACTCTGGCAACATGTGAGCCTTCAGGGGAACGTGCTCCAAGCACCTAGGCTGCCTGGTGCCACTTCTTCTGCTTCAGATATCAGTTCCAACTCCCCTGGGGCCAAGCATGGGGATTTCATTTGAACATCAAACTCTCACTAATGTGTACAAGTAGTGGAAAGAGAATTTGGGCTATGCAATTGCTAAGTCCTGAAAAGAAACGTTTGATACATCAAATTAATATTTCTCTAAAATAATTAACAGACAATTCACAATTTCTGCTCTGCGGTAGTTAGAAAATAAATTATTCTCACCATAGAATTTAAAAAGTGAGCTGGGAATCAGGTGACAGAAAAGTGTCTGGCTGTATAATCCAGTCACCAATTGTTAATATACATAAGATTTCCTACTGTGAGGAAGGGACTTTCAGAGCATCAGGAAAACCTCACTACTATGCACTAATAATAAGGAAACAGTTCATGTGGATGCTAATCATGGGATATACACTATTTTCTATATATTGAGTACATACTATGTGACAGGCATGACACTCAGTGCCTGACATAATTTCACTTTTTAATTAAAGGTCACTATAACAATAATCAATGAAAATCAAAAGAAAAACTAACCCACAACTAAATCAATGACACAGATAAAACATTCTCTCTTCTCAACCTAACGTTCAATGGTTCTAAATAGTCCAATCCATGACATCTACTCTGAGATTCTCCCCTTAGAACTAAACTCATCCCTGCTCTTGTCACCCTCCTAACTGGTTCCTATAAAGCCTTGTTACTTTTGCCCCAGTACTGAGCTGCTGGCCAGACACCGGTTAATTTTTCCTCATGTTATGAAAGAACCAAGAATGTGTGATTTTTATTTCATCTACAAACTTGCTATCTCCCCACCATAAATTTAAAAGCTTGCGATTACTGTGAGTGCTACTACTAATAAAACAGAGCCTGAAGCAAAGGCATAACCAAGTATTTTAGACTCCCAAAGCAAACCCTTCAAAAGATCTAAAATAAATAGATCTCTCACCCCAAACTAGCCAGGCCATGTGGCCATGATTTATACCTAAGGAGAGAAAGGAGTAGAGCGCCAAGACTGACACTTTCTCCCTTTCTATGATTCTAGAGTATTGTTTATTGCTTTTTGCACTTTCTTCTTTCACATCTATTCTGGGCCACATGAAAAATTCACTCTAGTCACGCAGTCAACCTTAGCAAGTTTCTGCTTCTTCCAACAAGTTTAGAGGGCTGCATCACCCATGCTGGTTTTGTTGGTGCCTTTTCAGTCCTTGTTTATTGAGTGCTTGGGTGGGTTGGTATCTTTAACCTATAAGTCTAAGCTTGGTACTATGGATAGATAAACTACTAGCTACTACAACAGACTTTGACTTAATTCTCTTCTTTCCTGTGTTTTTCATATGGGCTCAAAGGCAATTACACATCTTTTTTTTTTTTTATTCATATGTGCATACAATGTTTGGGTCATTTCTTCCCCCTCCCCCCACCCCCTCCCTTACCACCTCTTGAGCATGTTAAAAAGCAAGCAACAAATAAATATTCATTCAGCAGCTACTATATGTGTGAAGGGCTGTGGACGATAAGATATAGTTCCTACCTTCCAAAGACTTTTAGTCTAGTTGGGAGATAAAACACAAGCAAGTGGAAATGCCGCTTGTCATATACCCAGCCCATATTTTCAAAAAGCTTTCATTTTAACTCTCTCCTACAATTCATCTTTGGTGTTTATGATACATCACTATGGCTGGCTTTGTCAAACTTCATTCCACTTTCTCTCTAGTACAAGAGGCTAAGATGCTGAAAATTGTATTTCCTAGACAAATTTGCAACTATATTTTCAAGAGAAGCAGGGTTGGTGAGATGTGAGTGTTTAGAGGGAGTCTTAGCAGCCAGACCAGAGGTCTAGTCTCCAGTCTCCATGGCTAAAGAGGGGTGCTGAAGTAGCCACTGTCATAATGGCTTTCTGACAGCTGCATCTTAGCCACAATGGAGCTTCTCATGAATAGTTACCATAGCCTATTGCAGAATGGGACAATAGACTGGAGTTGGAACAAATTTGGACAAGGTCCCATTTTACCTCTGGTGTACTTGGTGGCTTTGTGCAAATCATTTAATCTTTCTGTGCATTTGTCTTTGCTCTTTAGAAACCAAGAGCAACACCAGTGGTTCTTCTCATAGAATGTTCCTGAAGGTGAATAAAAACACTAGGAAACACAATTGCACTTCTTTATAAATGGAGGAGGTGAAAATCCTCACACTATCTCCCAGACCATTTCTCCAGAGTGCCATCCATTTACTCCAAGAGTTTTGGAACAAGGGACAAGTTCCTGAATGTACTGGGGACATAGAATAGCATCTATTTTTTGTTTGTTTGTTTCATGTGGTTTCTACTTATTTTCAGAATGCCATGGCTATTTGTGATCTTCACAAACTATAAAAATAAGGTCTCCACCCTACAGACTTTACAGTGCAGTTTAAACAGACAAGCTGCATGGGCTGACAGGTCAGACATGCCAGGGGACGGTGCTGGTGTTGTGTAACATGGGTGTGGAGGGTTTCTTCTTGAGTTATAAATACTTTCCAGTTACAAGAGCCTTTCATCCGGGATCCCCAAACACTTTAGAATAGCAATGCCCTCGATTGCTTTCTAAATGTACTTCCCATAAACTGCTGTGGGGACTGAGTAAATGCTTTTAAATGTCTATTAATTGATCTGTGGATCTTTTCATTGTCCATATTAAACAGTATGGATGTAAACACGACATTTCAGGAGAGGCCCACTTTGGGCTGTGGTCTAGCTATTCACAGATTACAACCCTAAAGAGGTCTGGTCACCTTGCACCCAGCCTTGGGAAGGCCACCTGGTTACCTGGGTATTTTCCCAAATGAGATGCTTATTCAACCTAGACTCAGAAAAATCACTTCCTGATGCCCTGATTCACCACTTGCAGGCAAGATCACATTTCAAAGTCAGCAGAGCTCAGAGAAAGAATTTCCACTGGAGAAACTTGGAGTTACCCTTAACTAATGACAGTGGTTCTCATCAGGTCCTTTGCTATCACTCCATCATGTTTCTCTGACTCTTCTTTTACTTTCTCTTTTAGTCAATGGTATTTCCAAAACTGTAAGATTTAGATTTTCTTGAGCTGGCACAGAGTTTCCCTTTCTATGTCTCATGGCCAGTAATTATTCCTGACCTATTTGACAAGTTCATTCAAATCCAAGGGAAAAACAGCCTGGGTTGGGAATCCTGAAAGTTCTCCCAGGGGTTCATGAGATAAGAATTCCTTCTTGTATCCATCTTTTGAGTTTCCCAGCGTTATCTTCCTAACAACCCAGACAGAATCACATCACCTCTCTGATTTGAAAAGCCTACCTGAAGAATAAAATCCAGGGTATATGCAATTTCATGGTCTTGGCCAGCTAACCTGTCTCTCTAGTCCCTGTCTCTCTAGGTCCCCATGACCTGCAGCATTGGCCACACCAGAGAGGTCATCCCTTCCCCAGAGAACTAAATTTTCCTGTCCCTGCCTCTGAAATGTCCTTTTTCTTCTTCCTTCCTCACCATCCTTTCACATCTTCCCAGCAAACTACATACCTTCCTGCCAACTTGAGCATCCTTCATCTCCGTGGCCTTCCAGGATGCCCACCATGGCCCACCACCATCCCTGCTTCCACCATACCTACTCATTCACTTCTCTTCCTGGAGTACTTCGTTTTCTCCAACAGGAATTGTGCCTCAGATACAATGATCAGGATGTTTTTGTGAAGGGTCCTTCTGTACTTTGAAGGAATGATGAAGGGGAAGGCAGATACCAACTGTAGCCTAAGACCCTTGTAAATCATTTAGAACCCTGGCTTTGTGAGATATTGTTGCACTGCTGCGAGGGGGTCACTTCACAATGATGCGTTAAATTCAGTTTTTTTGGATTTTTTTTTTTTTTGCTATACATTTGAAAAAAATTAAATGGTGATAAAATATACATAACATAAATTTAACATTTTAACCATTTTTAAGTTTATAATTCACTGAAATTCGGTGCATGATTTCAGTCCATCTCCAGAACTTTTTCATCTTTCCAAACTGATACTCTGTACCCACTAAACACTGACTTTGCATGTTCCCCCTCCCCCACCTCGCCCCTAGCCACCACCATTCTACTTTCTGTTTCTATGAATTTGACTACTCTAGGTACCTCACAAAAGTGGAAGCCTACAATATTTGTGATTGGCTTATTTCATTTAGCACAATGTCTTCAAGGTACATCAATGTTGTAGCATATATCTAAATTTCCTTCCTTTTTAAGGCTGAGAAATATTTCATTGTATGCGTCTGCCACGTTTTGTTTAATCATTCATGTATCAGTGGTCACTTGAGTTGTTTCTACATTTTGATTCTTGTGAACAGCGCCGCTCTGAACATGAGGTGTACAAATACCTCACTGAGACTCTGCTTTCAGAAATTTCATTTGGGTAGAAGCAGAATTACTGGGCTGTATGTTAATTCTATGTTTAATTTTTTTTTTTAGGAACTGCCATACCATTTTCTACAGAGGCTTCACCATTTTACATTCCCACTAACAGTGCACAAGGGTTCTAGTTTCTCCATATCCTCACCAACACTTGTAATTTTCTGTTTTTTTGTTTTGTTTTATAGCCATCCTAGTAGGTGTGAAGTGTTACCTCGTTGTGGATTTGACTAAATTCAGCTTTAAGCTTCTGCAATCACTGTCTTAATTCTCCATGATAAACCTAATCTCACTTCACAGCATGACCTCTAATTCTTCCTAACAAGAGTTGAGCCTGTCCCAGGGGAAGGCACCACAGAGGGAGAACTACAGGATAAGTGGGCTATAGCCTATTGCACTTCTGAATACCAACCAGCAGGGGGCACTCCCACAAGCTGACAGATGGCAGGGCAGCTTGTTTTCTCAAGCCAAGGCAGGGTCCTAGATCACCAGCAAGGGGGTCTTTTTGTTCCTGGACTCTCTTCCTTCTTGTCTTGTGCCAGCATCAAAGAGAAGCAAGCAGCTCAGGCCATGCAGTGTTTCTCAAAGGGTGCTACTGGCATTCCAGTGGGGAACAATTAATTATTCTGGACAGACATATTGCCCCACATTTAGCATCCCAGGCCCCTGCTTGCCAAATGCCAGTAGTGGTTCCCAGTCATTGTGACAAACAAAATGTCCCCCATCTGCATTTTCAAAGTCCTTCCCTCTGGGGATGGAGCAGCCCAGTTTTTCTCATTCATCAGGCAAAGCAGTCACCACCACAATGAAGACTCAGGTCCAGTTCAGGGAATTCTGGGGTACAGTCAAGGGAAACATCACAGGTGATTTTGGTCCTTTCAGTGGCCAGTGGACAACCCCTGCCCCCATCCCAGCCACTGAACGAACACTGCCCTCAGCAGTCTCTGCCTTGCTTTGGCTGTGTTAAAGGGACTTCATTTCACTGTGCTGCCATAGCAACCAGGAAACAACCTCCTCGCACAATGAAAAGGATGGTTGCTGTGGCCCAGATCCATAGATGCACACGGCCGGTAACAGAGCAACCAGAACCAGGGGACAACAAGGGCTCAGCCCGAGAGGTGAGAGAGGCTGCCCAGAGAGTAGACAATCCCGGGCTTGAGGAGTCTGGGCATGCAGTATGTTTTTCCTCTCCACAAAGATGCACACTGTCTAAACTGTGTGGCTGGTTGTTACTAAAAAGCTGCTGCAAGAGGGAAAAATGTACTTCATAAAAGGCCCAGTGTTTGTGGTCTCCTCGGAGCTTCGCAAAGCTTGAGGTGTGACCAGTTTTCAGCCTTCAAAACCAAGATGAACTGCCCTTGAGAGCAGCTGGTCAGAGGGGAAGCATGTTCGCTCTCTCTCTTCTGAGCCGGGGACATGGGAAGTTGGTCCAGAACAAACAGAAATTGGAAGTCTATTTTGAACCAGAGGTGAGTGTGACAGCTGAAAAAAGGCTCACTTGAGCTTGGGGGAGGAATCTGTCTTTCCGATGGGGGTGAACTGGGCATTTTTTGGTGTGTGTTGGTGGTGAGCTCGTGAGATGGTGGGGACAAGAGTAGATCTTCCCTCCTTCATGAAATTCAAGAAGATAATGTGTTGCCTGACACCCTAAGATCGCCACTAGGGTCCCTTTTCTTCCCTTTGTACCCTGACTTACAGTCTCCCTTTGCTTGAGACTGAAGGAGAATCCAGATTCTCTGGAATTCGGATAGTTTGGTTCAAGACCAGAATTCCCACCTAGGTTCTAGGCAAGCTGACTGTTGTTTGGTTTTTCGAAGTCATGCTCTGCGGTTGAAATGCTGTGTGTGTTCGCGCCATTTCAATGGCTTCCTTGAACGTTCTGGAATTCAACCCACAGGATTCATATTTAATACGGGCCAAAAAAAATCTCATTTTAGAAGAGTTTAAAGAAGTGGCAAAATTCCCTTGTTGTCCTAGAATTTTATTTCTTGAATCCTGCCAGGAATATGAAATCCGTCAGGGGTACTTTGAAATTTTTGAGGTCATACAGAGACTTCTATTGTCATGATAGTTTGTCATGATTTTTGACCTTTACTGTGTTAAAATACATATAAAGTTTCAAAGGACCTCTATGACCAATGGCATTTACTTACAAAGTATACAACCACTTTATAGGCTCCTAAAGAGCCAAATTAGGTAATGTACACAGCATCTGGAATGTATAGAAATTCTCTCTGTGTACAGCTGAAGCGGAGGTGGGTTGCAATGATTTTCTCCTATTTAAACTGCCAACGAGTGCAGATCTAATTTCAAAGTTATCTGCTGCCCTTGGTAATTCTGACTACTTACTTGCATACCAGGAAACTTTAACTGGCTTATAACCTACCCTCTACCCTACTTAAGCCTCCAGCCATGAACGGCTCTCTTGAAAGTTGTATGGAATAAAATAGAACCATGGCCTGTGTTCTATTAATTTTGAGCTGTGGAACGAAAAGCCAGTTGCTAAGAAAAGTAGTTGTGTTCTATAATTCCACATGAGCAATTCAGAAAAAATTAGAAACTGAAAAGACCGTCACTTTGCACAAGTGGTATTTGCTGTCTAAGTATAGTGACTTAGGCAATATTTTTCCCTTGCAGGATTACTTGAACTGGAAGTCCCCAGAAGACTATGTTCTGGTCAGCAAACCCCAGGACGAGGATAAAGCCAACCAGCATTCCTGGAGCCTCTTTCTTCCTAAGACCTTCAGCACGAGAAAGGGGGCCCTGATCCTCTATTCAGAAGGCCTAGCCATATCAGCTTGGACGCCCAAAGAGAGAAGAGGCCCCTCCTACCTCAAAGGTCACAGAAAGAGGCTGGATCTTGAACTGCACACACTTCAAGACCTCAAAGAAGCCATTTTGGCATATGGGAGGAAACAGGTAGGCAGTAAAGTCCCTTGGGTTTGGGGAAGACTCTGGGTTTGTGTCTACACAGCTTTGGATGTAAGTTCTTGACTTCTAGGGAAGATATGAAGCCCTAAGACCTCCAATTCTTCAACTCTAAAATGGGATTGCACTCTTGGCCCTCTCTGCCACACCTACAAGGCTTACAGGAGATAATACATGGAAAGGACTCTGAAAGCAGAAATGGTTCTGTTATCATCATTTCACATTTTCCTTTCAGTTATAGTAACATAAAGTCCTTTTTCAGCGTTCAGACAGATCCAGGCCGCAGACATTTCATCAGAATCCTTGAAATCCTGTCTCATAGCCACAAGCATCATCATTCTGCCTCTGATGTACTTGGCTTTGTGGAAATGAAAAGTAGAACATTTTGAATATTTACTGTAAGCCCTTCAGCATCTGCAGCACTAATGATTTTTTCCATTCTACAGTTAATATTAAGGGAAAACCCCTGTGCTTATTTTCTAATTTATACTTTCTAATGTCTTGTGAGATGCACACACAGCTCCTGCTTTATATAGCTGCATACATCAGCTTGTGGCTGAGACCATAAGACAGCCTGAGCAGATAAAAGTTATGAAATGCTACATTAGAGCTAGTGGGTTACTCCCTGGTTTAAAGGTCTCTATTGACTAATAAAGTCATTAGCTTCAACACCAGGCCTTCACACACTGGCCTCCTCTTCCTGTCTAACCATATCTCCCACTTGTTCTTACCACCACCTCTACCATGGGCCTTTCAAGTACCCCCACCAATGTGACTAGCTCACATTTTATGACTACATTTTTGCACATTCTGTACAGCTGACTAATTCCTATCCAATCCTTCAAAATACTGCTAAGAATCATCCCCTCCCTAGGGCCTTCTCCTACTTCCCTAGGCAGAAATGCCCACAGATCCCTCCTTTGCAAATGTTCCCATACCATCATGCACTGAAATTTAGTCTCTGTGACTACCTGCCATCCCGGATCTCCATGACAAGGGACTATGTCGAAATCATGAATGTTTGTAGAATGAATGAATCAGCCATGCATGACACTTTCAATGTTTCTTAATTCATCTCCCATCATCATTTTTTGGGCAATTTATCACCTATCCCCACCCCAAGCAGAAAACTTTTCTGCCCATGTCCCCTTTTCCAAAGTAGAGATTTTTTTTCAGTACTGGGACTTGAACTCAGGGCTTTCACCTTGAGCCACTCCACCAGCCCTTTTTTATGAAGGGTTTTTTGAGATAGGGTCTCGCAGAACTTTTTGCCCAGGGCTGGCTTTGAACTGCAATCCTCCTGATCTCTGCCTCTTGAGTAGTAAGGATTACAGGCTGGGCCACCAGCGCCCAGCTAAAAGTAGAGATTCTTACTGTCCTAGACCAAATGCCCTGTTGTCCTTTGCCTTGAAATCATAAATTCTTGAATGAAAGGAAACCAATTATTATGGAACACTTACTGTGATTTTATAGCTATTATTTTATTTAATCATTATAATGACCCTGTAAGATATGGTTTTTCTTAGCCTCCTCCCTTTTTTTGAGACAGGATCTCACTATGTAGTTCAGTCTGGCCTTGAACTCATGACCTCCTGCCTCAGCCTCTTGAGTGCTGGGATCACAGGCATTCTGCCCCTTTTCATAGGTGAGGAAACTAAAGCTCAAAGGTGTTTTATTGGCTTGCCAAAGACAAAGAGCTAGTAAATGACAGAGCCAGTGTTCAAACCAGGGACTGCCTACATACCCACAGCCAACACGAATGTACTGTGTCCTGTTGTCTGTGGACTTGAAGAGACTCCAAGGCTGTTGTGGCCTTGGCCTGTTTGCCCTCAGATCCCTTCCACACTTTTCTGCTCTACTCTGTATCAAAAGATGGCTGACCATGGGACATGTACAAGTCCACAAACATATCAACTGACTCCTGATTGAGTTTTGCAGTGGAAGACGTTGGGAAGAGATTGGGAAGGGAGAAGGAGAAAACCAGGGTACTTTTTCCTTCTACAAGAAACACGTGCATCACCTCTGTGGTCCTTCTCCCAACAGACAGGTCCATGATTGCCCCAGGTTCTTCCAAGTGACCCCATCAACATCTCTGTCTCTCTAGCCTAGGAGTGACATGGGCTTCCTGAAGTAACTAATTCCAATGTTGACTCAGTACCTGTTTGACTTCTGAGCTCTCCAAGCACCCAAGTAACCAATCTCCTACATTGAATTCCTCTGTGTTTAATACTTAGTTTCTGTTTTCCTGGTTAGACACTGACTGTTATGTAGACTAATTTACTTGCTAGAGTAAGAACACCTTTCCCAGCTTTCAGATGCATGTCCTTATTGCTAAATTCTATGGGCAACAGGATCTTACTAATTTATAAAGTATATCAGTCCTTTGGGTATAGCTTCATTTAGGGTTAGATTTTGGACCAATGAAAAAGTTCCCATCTTCTGACATTCATCTAATAAATTCATAGCTCAGTCCTGTACAAACCAGAACACTATAAATCTAACTCCAGTTGGGTAGAGGGGAAATTGTGAAGAAATTAGAAAGGAAGGAAATGGTTAAGAATAGTAACTGGGCAGGAATTTAATATTAGAATGAATAGTAGCTTTAAAGAGAAGGGGAAATAGCTCAAAGGGATTTGGGATTAAAGAAAATGAGCAATTTAGTAGAGGACAGCTTTGGGAAATAGAGAGCATCATGTGATTAGGAAGACTGTAAACTGTCAAGAAACTTTCAAAATCATAACACCCAGGGCCAGGAAGGCTAAGGGGAAATAGAAGTCTCATGCATTAGGAGCACAAATTCACATGGTATTTCTAGAGGGCATTTTGGCAAAAGCCTGAAGAGGGCTGATACCCTTTGACTCAGCATTCTACTTTTAGAACTTACCCTAGGAAATAGACAGAGATACACCCAAAACAATTATGTCCAAAATGTCTACAACAGGTTATTTATTACTATGCAAAACACTGAAAACTATTAATGTGCAACAATGGAACATTGATGAAATAATTTATGGTACAATCATATAATAGATTTTGGGTCAGGCAACAAGTCATGTATTAGTCATAAATAGCATGAGAAAATGTTCACAGTATCTTTTTTTAAACAGGTTACAAAATAGTATTCGTATATGGGAAATAAAGATGCCAACTTCATTAACATTTTTGAGTACTTACCATGTTCCTGACACTGCTTTCCAAGTATAAGTAGTTTATTTGTTTATTTCTTTTTACAGTGCCAGGGATTGAACTCAGGGCCTTAGATATGCTAGGCAAGTGCTTTATCACTGAGCTACATCCCCACCCCTTGAGTTTTTAAGACAAGTTCTCACTATGTAGCTCAGCCTGGCCTTGAATTTACTATGTAACCAAGTCTGGCCTCAAATTGATGATCATTCTATCTCTACTCCTGAATTCAGGGATTACAAGTTTCTACCACCACACCTGGCTAGTATAATTCATTTATGCTTTCAAACAATCCTGGGTGAGATATTATCTCATCATCCATTTTGAAGACAAGGAAACTGAGGCACAGAGAGTGAGCAATTCACTCAAGACTATACAATCACATAGACCACTACAACAAACTTCCAGACCAGGCAATGTAGAAAACATTGCTTCCCTAATGTAATAAAAAAAATTTTTTTTGAGGTACTGTAGTTTGAACTCAGGGCCTACACCTTGAGCCACTCCACCAGACCCTTTGTGTGATGGGTTTTTTCAAGGTAGGGTCTTGTGAGCTATTTGTCCAAGCTAGGTTTGAACCCCAATCCTCCTGATCTCTGCCTTGTGAGTAGCTAGGATTACAGGCGTGAGCTGCCAGCACCCAGATTATAATCAAATTTTTAAAAAATTAATTCCACATTCTCAGAAGGATACACAGAAATTTTCACTGTGGGTTAAGCACAGGTGGTAGGATTACAAATCATATTTTTATTTATACATTTCTTTTTACCAGACATTATTTTTAAAACTATGGAATTTTTAAAAAGAACTAAGAGCCTATGGACTTGAAGGAGGTAGACAGAGATCCAGGAGGGAGGAAGAGGAAGAGAAACAGAATAGCAACTTATGCTGAGGGCTGGGACATAGGTCAGTGGTAGAGCTCTTGCCTAGCAAACTGTGCCCACCAATTGAGCCCACTAATTACCACACTGTCTTCCTTGGGGTCAGTATGTCCTTGCCCATATAGGCTAGGTAAAGAGTTAAAAACACCAGGCTCAAAGTAAAAGAGGCAAATGGGGAGGGAAGCAAGGATGGAGGCGGGCTCACCAATACGGTAGTGCTCCTTACAGAAGGATCTATGCTGTCTGAACCAAGAATCAGGAACCTGGGCCTCCCGCCTCAAAACTGAGAGAATCATGGCTGCTGCAGGAGGTGCAATTCAATGTTTAAAGCGTCTTACAGCATCTCCGGTTCTGTGCATGAGTCTGATGGCACACAGATGGTGATATCTCTGGAATTTATACCTCAGCATCCACCCACTCTGTAACTTTCCTGATGGTCCAGCTTCCTAAAGAGCAAAGCTAAATATCAAACCAAGAGATTAGATGTCAGCCTTCTCAGACTGCTACATACATGCAGATATGTTCCTTGATTGTTGGTTCATTTCTTTTTGTTTTTTTAAGCCAAAGGAAATTCAACCTTCCTAAAGTTAAAATTATTCTTCTTAAAGTATTCATTCATTCAGTGCCTCCAGACTTAGGAGACAAATAGCTACAAAACCCAGATAGTTATAATTTAGGGTAGTTTTTAATAGAACTGGGGTTTGAACTTAGGGCTTTATGCTTGCAAAGCAGACGCTCACTAAGCAGGGGCTCTACCTCTTGAACCACACCTCCAGTTAGGGTAGTTTTTATTTTTTATTTTTTATTTTTTTGACTATTACAAAAGCTTATTTAACAAAAAGGTTAATATGAAAATGTACACAACACAATTTTTACTTCATAGTTAAACAGGCCCTTTGGAGAGGGCACGTGGATTTCTCTGCTGAACTGTCATCATTTAAACTCGTTCCAAAGCTTCTAACATGAAGATACTATTTCCTCGTATTACCACCATTCCAATATTGTTCTGTTGCTCACTAGTTGCCATCTCCACACATTCATCTATCACAAGATTCACAAAGGGATCAAATCCCCGCAATATTCCTTGGACATGTCTGCCACCATTTAATTTCAATGACAACTTCTTGTCCATAAATTTTTTTAGCTTGGGAGGGTGTGCTTTACTCATGGTGTCTCAGGGTAGTTTTTAAATGATAGCCAAAATGATGCTCTTGAAGTTGGCATATTTCTTAAGTGCCTCTCAAATAATTGAAAATACTAAGTAATTTTCAAATAGGTCTACTCGAAAATTTGTAGAATTTTCTAAATCTAGTGATGTTTTTCAACTGTGTGTCTCATTCCATTTTCTCTTGCCATAACTGAATATAACATATTGGGTAATTTATAAAAAACAGAATGTCTAGAAGCTGGTTGGTCCAAGAGCCATCACAGGTAACTACTCCACTGGTGAGGGTCTTCTTGATTCATCATAACATGGCAGATGGCATCAAATAGCAAGACAGAGGAAGCATGCTAGCTTAGGTCTCTCAGCCTCTTCTTACAGAGCCACTAGTGCCATCAGGAGGGCTCCACCCTCGTCACCTCATCTAATCTTAATTACCTCCCAAAGGCCCCACCTCCAAATAACATTAACGTATGGATTAGAAGAGTAAGTTTCTGACATGTGAATTTTTAGGATACACTAATATTAAAACCATGGTAATGTCCAATAATGAAACATTAAAGTACTGTGTTAAAAATAATCTGTTTTAAAATTCAACTCACAGGGCATGTCATTTCTCTATCCCATTAAGGGATAACAAGATTTAAATAACTATAGCAGATTTCACTCAAGATTGTATTACTGTCACTATTTCTCTTATAAATGTAGTTACATTTAAAAGTGTGGTCAGCCTTGATCTCCTGAGTCGAGCCACACATGTGGATCTATCCTGCCTAATTTCTCCCCACGTTCTAATACTCAGGGCACTCAGTTCTTCAGCTGTTGTAATCAACCGATGTCTAGCCCATGTAGACACCTTCAGGTTGCTATTTTATTGAATAAGAAAATATTGTGAGAAATATATATTTGAATCAAGCTTATTTTCCATCTGAGGCATAGTATAGGCTCATCAGACAAAGTAAGAAAATACAGAATTTGAGGAAGAAATATAAATTACCTATTACTCTTTCAGTCAAAGATCAGGAGAATGAATGGAAGTTCCCTTTGCCAGTCCTGATCAATAACCTGATACTTGTTTGATTGTGTTCCTCAGAGGTGAGAAGTGATCTGATGGCTATCAACATTGTTAAAGAGGCAGCAGAGCTATGAAAGGGAGACAGAGTGTCTATATTCCTTTTGTGGTATTTAGAGGCTGTGATAAACTTAGATATAAGAAAGATCAGAGGAACATGATCAACCCAGCCTATGAGCTCAAAGGTAATGTCAATAACACTAACACTTACTGAGTGCTTCTTGTGTGCCAGGCATTTTATCTGTAGAATAATGTCACTCCATCTGTTCAAGCCTATTAGCTGGGTGCTAACACCACCTTCATTTTAAAGGAGGAAAAACTGGGACTTGACAAATCACACATCTAAGCCACAGAGGTAGAACTGGACCCTGGACAACTGATTCCAAAGCTCCTTCTCTCTTAACCCCTTGAGGGCCTGATTTTGAAGACTCCCTGTGCCTCACAGGAAAAATGTATCTCCCCAGCTTAAACAGTATCTGTAAAAAAATAAAATAATATAAAAATCTGAGTCTTCCAATACATTCCTTAAACTAACCCTTGACAATTCTAAGAAAGCCCATCAGATTTTCATTAAAATCAGTCTGCGTTATAGATATCATTTTCCTACTACGCCATACATATGACCCAGTAGACTTGTATGTTTCTAGGCTTTATCTTCTTCGTCCATCAGCTTCCTTATATAACTAACAGAAGAAATGTCTGCTAAGGATTAACAACCAGATTTTACTATTATACCAGTCACCATTCTAATCATTTTAACTTAACTCTTTTAACCCTCGTGACAACTTTATAAGGTATGTACTATTCTTTTTTAATTTTGCTGAAATATATATAACATAGAATTTACCATTTTAACCATTTTTATATGAACAGTTCAGTGGTATGAAATATATTCACATCGTGTACAACTGTTACTACCATCCATTTTCAGAAATTTTTTAATTTTATAAAACATTAAACATTAACACCCCATTTTTCCCTGCCATCAGCCCCTGGCATCCACCTTTCTACTTTCTGTCTGTATGTATTTGACTGCTCTAAGCACCTCACAAGAGTGGGATCATAGTGTTTACCCTTTGTGTCTAGTTTATTTTGCTTAATATAATGTTTTTAAGTTTCATTCATGTTGTAGCATGTATCAAAACTTCCTCCCTTTTTAAAATGGAATGGTATTCCATTGTGTGTGTATACCACGTTTTGTTTATCCATTCATCCATTAAAGGATGCTTGGGTTGCATTCAAATTTTGGCTATTGTGAGTAATGCCTTAATAACATGAGCATACAAATATCACTCCATGTTCCTGCTTTCAGTTCTTCTGTGTATATATCCAGAAGTGGAATTGCTAGATAATATGGTAATTCTATTTTTGACTTTTCCAGGCAATACTTTTCCTTGGTTGTTATACCATGTTACTCCTATACCAGTGATGCACAAGTGTTCCAATTTCTCCACATTCTCATCAACACGAGGTTTCTGGTTTTTTAATTTTATAATGGCCATCCTAATGGGGGTGAGGAAATAGCTCATCACAGTGTTATTTGTGTCTCCCTAATCATAAGTGACATTAAGCAATTTTTCCGGTGCTTGTTTGCATTCGTGTATCTTTTTTGGAGAAATAGTTACTCAAGTCCTTTGCTCATTTTCAGCTTGGGTTGTTTGGTTCTTGTTGAATGTAAGAGTTCTTAAATATTCAAGATGCTAATCCTTATCTGATATAAATTTGCAAAGATTTCCTCTCATTCTGTGGGTTACTTTTTTCTCTTTGTTAACAATGTCCTTCGATGCACAGAAGTTTTTTTTTTTTATTTTGATGAAGTCCAACTTGTCTATTTTTTTCTTTTTTTTTTTTTTCTGTTCTTTTGGTGTTATATCCAAGACAGCATCACCAAATCCAACGCAATGAAGATTTCCTCTCATGTTCTTTCCAAGAATTTTTAGTTTTATCTCTTATGTTTAGGTCTTTGCCCCATCTTGAGATAATTTTTCTATATGATGTAAGGTTACGCTCAACTTCAATATTTTTCATGTATGAAATATACTTCTGTCATTTTTGTTTGATAGGTTAAAAAAACTGAGAGACAGATAAGAAATTTTTCAATAGTCACACAACAGGTAAGACACTGAGACTAGAGTCAAACCCAGGTGGGTTTCCATTCTCTTACAGGAATTTAGAGCTTAATTTTTGTTTCTTGCAATTTTAGCTGTATACCTTCATGTTTGTGGCATGTGGCTGTTCAAAATTTTGATGCTAGATGGTTTGTTCAAGAGTCAAAACTTGTTATAACATTGCATTAGTGAGAAAATTCAGACCACTTCATGATTTTCTTCTTTATGGCCTGGTATGTGACCAATGAATTGGAGAGAATATATCATTTGCACAGAATTCCTGCAATCAGACCTTCAGGGAAAGGGCTGGCTGAGAGTGTGGGGTGTGCACAGGCTGACTGAAGTCAGGCAGAAGCTGCAGAAGTCTTTTTGGGCACAGCTGCAAGTGGCCTCTCATCTCTTCCCCTCCCAACTCTTCTCCTACCTCTCTCTAGTTGTATTCACCTTGCAGTGCCAGGGCTGGGGCTTGTCATATCACAGGTGAGACAACAATGGGCAGTCACCCTCTGCTTGTAATTCTTGGCCTTGGCCAGCACACACAGATGCCAGCCATGCTCCTGAGAGAAGGACTTCAGGCTGGAGCCAGCACCTCAAAAAACAGGGGTCACAGTGAAGTTCATACATTATTAGGCCTTTCCATTCAACTGAGCAAACAATCAGTATGTAGTTATTAACTAGCCATCACCAGAACAATGCCTGACACATAGCAGATGCGGATAGCCACTGGATGAGCGTGTGATAGTTGCTAAGGTGTGGCAGGGGAGATTAGGTAATCGCTAACAGGAGTATACAATCCAGCCACGAGGCAGATTTATGTCCCACTGACACTTGATGTGAAGCAGTCTGAAAACAGCTGGACTATAATTCTCTTACAAACTGTGGAAGTATAAAAAAAGGTAGAGATTCTGACTGAATCTTTATTTTGTTATTATTTCAATTGTGCATATTTATGAGGTACAGTATGATAATTTGATACATGTATGCAATCCATAAGATCAGATCAGGGTAGTTAGCATTTCCATCTCCTTAAACATTTTCTTAAATTTTTTATTAAACCATTGCAGTGGCCCACACCTATAGTCCCAGTTACTCTGGAGGCTGAGGTAGGGAGATCATTTGAGCCTAGGAGTTCAAGACCAGCCTGGAAAACATAGCGAGAACCTGTCTCAAAAAAAAAAATCCTTTTTATTACTACATAATAGTTCTACATACTTATGAAATACAGTGTAATATTTCAATACACATATACAATTTGTGCTGATCAAATCAGATAATTGGCATTTCCATCTCCTTATCATTTTTGAAGCCTTCAAGCCTCTCCTAGTCATTCACAAAACATAAAAGAGGTTATTGTAAACTGTAGTCACCCCACCACCATGATGTAGAACACTAGGACTTATTCCTTCTACCTGTGTTTTGGTACCTGTTACCTGTTCTCCCTAGTTCTCCTCCCTCTCCAGACTCCAATAGTCACTGTTCTACATTCAGGTCTACTTTTATTTTTTTAGCATCCACATATAAGAGAGAACATGCAATATTTGTCTTTCAAGCTGGGTGCTGGTGGCTCACACCTGTAATCCTAGCTATTCAGGAGGCAGAGCTCAGGAGGATCGAGGTTCTGAGCACCGCCTCCCCAACACTCACCCCCCCAGCCCCAGGCAAATAGTTCAAGAGACTCTATCTGGAAAAAAACCATCACAAAAAAGGGCTGGTAGAGTGGCTCAAGGTGTAGGCCCTGAGTTCAAGCCCCAGTACCACAAAAGAAAAAAAATTTTCTTTGTATCTGGACTTTTTAATCAACTTTTTTTTTAATCCCTCATGTATTCTGGAT